AAGTCTTAACTGCGGTTTCTTTTCTTTTCCTCTCTTGGTCGGTCTGTTCTGTCTCCGTTGTTGCCGGGTGGAGGGGCTGCTGCTGCAGGTGTTCATTCCAGTTCGGCTCCTAACAAGCCAGCACAGCTCACATACTGGCTGAACTGGCTGTTCAGGTGCTGCTGGTTGAGAGGCCTGTGCAAGCCGCAGGAGTGGGGCCCCCTGCTGCTGGAGAGTGCGCCCCCGTCCTGTCTCCCACAGCGTTCCCCAGTCCACATGGGCTTCCTGTGCGTGTCGTGTGTGAAGACACAGCCCGCCCCAGTCCCCCTCTTCACCCCTCCATCTGCAGCCCTCACCGAGTCTGTTCATCATGGCAGGACGAATTCTCTTCCAAATAAAATATTTTTTCTGTATGTTTGTTTGGAGTATTTTCTGTTTGCTGAAAGTGAGACGTGGTGTTGGCTACAGCCCTGGGGTGAGTTTAAGTCTGTGTCCCTGTGTCTTGTGCCAAGTGGTCAGATAAGGAATCTTTAAGATCTGTTTTTTTATTCAATTAGTCAAGTCAGTTGAGAACAATATGAACTCGGCCAGAAAGACGATTAGCTGATCAGCGCCTCATCGACGGGGTGGGACCACAGCTGGACGCTGAGACAGGCTTTGCACCAGATTCCAGGTGCTGTCTGGGGCGGTTCTGTCCTGTTCCTCTCGTACAGCCGGGTCGGCGCCGTCTCTGGGCCCCGGAGGCCCCTAGCTGTCCCAGTTCACCCCACAGGTGTGCAGCGGAGCACAGGTCTGGCTGGGAAGACATCCTGCCCGCAGCTGTGGGGAAACTGGAACGTTGTCAAATCGAGATGGTAGGCCAGTCTGGCGCTGGCAGCTGGACCAGTGTCGCTCCGTGGAGTCGGGCTGTAGTGACTGGACACTCGGTGCCCTCCACTGAGCAGTCTGCAGGTGCACCACACTCGCCCATGTCTGTCTTTTCGACACACAAAAGTATGGATTTTATTATTTTTTTTGCTGAATTGCTGAAGAAGACCTGGCTTCACTGCTGGGGAGTCTAGCTGCAGTGGTGTATGAGGGGGGGTATTGTGGGGTCGTGTCTGTGCTTTCCTTCCCAGATTTCCCGCGGCCGTGATGTTGAACATGGGGTCAGCAGACGAGAGCCTGGTCTCGGAAGAGCAGGCGAGACGCGTTACGTGGAAACCACTTGGTAGGCACTTTGGGGACCTCTAGTGGCGGGCCGGGTATACTGCAAATGCACTGTCTGACCCGGGCGCTCAGACACGCAGGACAGTGCTGGTCTCTTAACGACGTTCACACAGAAAACAGAGTGAAGTTTGTTTTGGGGCCGAGTATGTCAGCAATCTCACACCCAGTTCCGGGAGTCATGATGTATTCGGGATTTTGTTCCAACCTGCTTGTTAAATAAACACTTCACCTTAATAACTTTCTAAATTAGACATGCTGTGCCTACACACACCCTACACGCCCTTTCCAAAGTAACACATTTTCAATTTTTTAATTACCTTTCAGAATGTTTGAGAATTTTAATTTTTTTCCCCTTGGGGAGGCAGAGTATTACAGTGTGTTAATAAAAGTAAAATACATTCTGATTTAACGCATCTTGATTTCAGGCTGTTAGGCCTGTACTGTGTTACTCTGGAAGGGTGATTTAGACTGCCTGTAGGCTCTGTACTAGATTTGTCTTAAAGCCTTTTACAGTTGATTACAAAGACAGGTCACACCAGCACAGGCACAGTGATCTACAAATCACCTCTGGACTTGGGTAGAGAGGTCACAGTTCTGCAGATAATTACTGGTGATGGGGACACTAGACTGTAAAAAAGACCTGACGTAAAACCGAGGGCCTGACTCTCTGTGGTCATTAAAAACCCCAGGGTGTTTCTCGAAAAGAGTAGGGGTGTAATCCCAGTGTCCTGGCCAAATTTCCCATTGGCCCTTACCAGTCATGGCCTCCTAATAACCCCCCTCTCTGAACTGGCTTCATCCCTCTGCTCTCCTCCCCACTGAGAGCTGGTGTGTGTGAGAGGACTGGAGCATCATCCAGGTGGGGCTGCACACTGGTGTGGGTGGAGGGGATCCTGTTCCCTGTCCAGCGCTGTGAGTGGGGTGTCCAGAAAGGCACTATAGAGGTGTGAGGTCCCAGGTCCAGATGCTCCTGCTTGGACATCGGGGACAGTAGCTCAGCTTTCCAATGTCCGAGCTGCCCCTCGCTGATCTCAGGAGCGGGACTGAACGGGGACTGTGGGCGGGAAACCCGATCGCCTGCCCTGCAGCTCCGGAACCAGAACTTGCTCAGACGCCGGCGCTTCCAATCCGCCCCGCTGCAGTTCCAGGGGAGCAGCCAGAGGGGCCGCTGTTGAGCGCGGGGGGGG